TTCTAAAAATAGAATTATTGTCCCATATCATGGGGACAACCCCAATACTTGAAATGGCGCGCGCTTACGGTCTCCGTCCCCGATTATGGCTCCTGGCACTACATGAAAATAGTAAGAAGACTTCCTTTTTTCAGTTTGGCAGGTTTTTCATAATACGTGCTAGTTATGAAGGTATTATATTTTATAATTTAGTTGTAGATGTATGTGAAAGGGGTTCCTTTTTCTGTGAAAATGGTGTACAAAAGGGTAAGGGATTAGACCTCGGGGCGGAGCGTCCGTAGAGTACCTCCCGGGTATCTAGCTTTCACTGAGTGAGGCTGAGTGAATGGGCTGTCTTGTTTTTAAGAAAAAGAACAACGCTTTTTTGGTTGACAAGACATATCTAGAGAGAAACGTCTATGCTCTGTGCTTTGTACTCTGAATCGGTTGACATTGGCCAACAATTTCCAAGCATAACTTATCTGCCTCGAACAAACATCTTATCTTACCATGGTCACTTAAACTCGTGAAAACTGAAACAGTATTTGAAATCGACGAATAGACCTCGTTATGTGTGTTTAAATCCTTGATAATGGGGCAGATAACAGGTTGTATTCGCAACTAGCGAACTACGATAAAAGTGTAATTATTGCAATAGACATTTTCACTTTTCCATGATTCTTTATTTGAATGTTTTGGTACTAAATCTTTCTCGAGAATTCTCTGGTGCGGTGTGCGAGCGGCGAAGCACTTAAACTTAATCGTTAACAAGGTGCTTCTTAATAATAGAACGAACATTTAAGTACGGTTGTGTTAATTGCAATTCGGTTCTTGTTTCTTTTATAATTAATTACAGTTTCTTTTGATGTTCAAAGCATCAACGAAAAAACCTGAGAATGGTTGTGCTGCATACAAAGTGATTGTAAGCGAGAGCAAATATTCAGCTGTTTAAAGTTGTATACGATACAAACGTCTTGTGACTTAAAATAACTCAAACTTTTCGTTAATGTTCCTATGTGATATGCCGTAAAGTGGCTTGTACAGTTTCGTTTTTGCTCGATGAAAATGACGAAATCTTTACACGCCGAAATGCGAAAAAGAATTGTCTCCACTCACGTTTCAGCTTTGCAGACGGACGTCCCTGTGTGTTTGGGTGCAGGCTAAAAGCTTGCCAATCTTAATTTTAAGCGCGCTTGTAAATTACTTCTCTTAACATTAATAACAATTGCAACCTACACTATTAAAACCCTTGCTTTTATATTTTACATCTTGACCGAATGCAGTTTCTACTAAACGCCCTCAAACATATGCATATGGAATTAGAAACCTTGCTTTCAATAGGAACAATGATGGTAAAAATAAATATTACATAACGTGGCTCGAGGTTATAATTTTTTTTTCTTCTCCATGTTAATCCTTTTCCTTTTTTCGTTAAAGCTGAAAATAAGCCAAAATAAAGTAACAAGATGCACTCCTTTTAAATCCGGCAGTCAATTAAGGAATAAAAGTGTATTTTTTTACATCAAGTATTCGATTTGGTACAAAGTGAGTTTGCCATCTTGCAAAATAGCGTCAAATTAAAACGACAATGTGTCGCCGTAAAGCGCGATTGTTTGTATTATGGCTACGTTCTACTTTGCATTTTTCATGTGAAAATGCAAGCGGCTAATGAAGAACACGCTTATAATCGTGCATGGAATTTATTTGGCGACATAAAGCGGCGTTGGCGTTCGGATGTGTTAAGAATCACAATCAGAAACAAAACCAAACGAAGAATTAAAAGAAAACGTCCAAAGAAAACCGTATCAAATCGTATCGGGATCATACGGACGGTGAATTTCCATGGTAAAATAAGACATCTACAATTCTAAATTAGGACTTTAGACAAAACCCGCAGGCGCGCGCTGTTTTGCTTTCCACAGAACATACTAGTTTCCTCACTTTGGGAAAACTTAAGCGACAAAAACTTTCGCTTCACTTTTGCACCTGTTTCAGAAACGAACATCAATGCTTTCAGAAGTTATCGAGTTTCATTCATTTTGTTCGCACGTCAGCCAAATGCATATTTACAAAATTTCTTTATGAAAATTAGGCAGTTGACAACAAGGGCGGTACGTTTGTTGCGCGCGCTAGATAACTCATCTGAGCTACGTATTGCACAGAGATAAAATGTTTTCATTGCCATTTCCGCGCGAATATATTTCGTACAGAACTTTTAATATTCTGATTTTAATTCTCGTGCTGTTTTGAATACAATAAACACTTTTGTTTCTTGTCCCGTCGCTGTATCCTTTATGAGTGAACATTTCTGAAACATTGACTTTACAGAACAGAAAACTTCTCCAATGAAAGAAACCTCTTCAATAAGCGACTCGAAAATCCAATTACTGACTTGTGTTTAATTATTCATAACACTTTGACATACACTGTAAACAGGAGACTTTTTTCCCCTCGATTGTTTCAGTGCGAAAAAAGTTTTCTCGCGGCGAAGAATGCCGAAAAATGTGCTAGGGGAAGAAATGGTTTTCCTCGCAACACTAAAGCGGAAAAGTTGGCGACAATTCACAAAGGTTGTAATCAATAAAACCCGTTTATATCGTTTCTCCTGATCTAATATGACAATAGAATAATCTCGCCGGCCTTTACATCCTCGATGTGCTGTTTTTAATTTGACTTGTCGTGTAAAAGATTATTCGTGTTTTCAGGCGTGGAGGGTATTCTCATCGAAGTGAAGAAAGTTGGCCAGAAAAGCAATTGGATCAAATAACACTGTGAATCTCTTTCTTTTTTAGATTAATCGAAAATCACCTTAAAATATCAAAATTCGCCTGACTTACCTATTTTTCCATCTCCATTGACATCAAACCGTCGAAAAACGCAAGCGGCGAGCCTCGAAGCATCCCCTTTGTCGAAAACTTTCTTGTACATCTCTATAAATTGTTGCTTTGTTAGATATCCGCTTGGGCAATCCTTAAGGAAACCTTTATACCACGACTTGAGTTCTTTCTCTTCGAAGTTCGTGTGCTTTAGAAGGTCGCCTAAGACTTCGGGATCTAGCTTCTTACTCTGTTTTTTCCCCATAACGAAGCTCAAGCTGGAATAATCAGCAACGAGTCGAGAGCGAGCAAAATGGAGCGCCGCGCCCAAGTCAAGGCAGTTAAACCAAGATGGCGTGCGCCGTTTCACTTCTGCTCCCAAGCGGAACTTGATAGGTTGACTCTGTGACTGCTAAGGTCGTTGTTCAGCGTTCGTTTCTCGGTGTGACCGTGCGGCGACCAGCGAGCATCCAGATGCACGGCTGCATTTGCTATCGCATTAACAACAATTATTTTCACCGGCCTCCTATCGGAGCCAAATCAAAAGCTGGTCATGACATGGTCCAATTACATCAAAAAGGCAAGGCTCCTGACGTGACGGGGTTTCTGTTTATGTGCACCGGGAAAACGACTGGGAATTCTTATAAACCGTTATACAAATACTATATTCACCAGCGACCACGGAGTCATGCACTTATGCGGTGGTAGAAATGGGCCACGGAAACTGAAAACAACAGCCTTTCAGATACTCAGCATAAATTAATGGCGAACATGCAAGCTGAAGATACCCTCTCTGTTTGATTGACAATATGAAACAGCCCTTGACCTGGATAAAAAAAATTCAGACCAAAAATTTCAAAGATCTATAAAATTGGAACTTCACTAAATGAAACTTTCTATGCTTTTATTTTGGCGATTTCTAGTCGCGACAAATCGTACTGTTTTTGTTTGGCGGGATAATTTCGTGCCCCTTTCTTTTATATATTAATATATCACTTTTCATTTGCGATTTTTAATTTAAGTGACTATTCTACCATTGTTTTAAGCCCTCGCCATCCGGCAAGGAGTTGAATAAATTAAGAATGCATTTAAGAACTAGATCGAACCGTGTTTTCGTTTCCCTAGATGAATCTTAATTCCTGGTGCAGCAAATACACAAGTTAGATAATTTTCTAAAAAGTTCAGTATTTTGCGAACGCCGTTTGCTCGAGTTTTTTAACGCCGATGTCAAAGTACCAACTTCATCTCGCTGAGAGCATAAAGGTCGTAAAATAATTTAGTATACGTCATTTATTATTCCAATATGTCGTGCCTATATTGGGAGGCGTTACGGACATATCAAGTTGTTTCGTGTGCACTCATTAAAACCTTACTTTTGGCTATCTATTTGGCTAGAACGATTTTAGAAGCTGTTTTCTGAGAAAGGCTCCAAAGCCTGCGGCGAGCGCTTTTGCTGTAAGGCGTGTACAGAACTTGCATAAAGATAGAAAAGAAAACCTCAATGTTTGGAATTTACAAACGACATATTCTTTATAACACCCCTAAATCGGGGAAAGAAAAAGGAATTATAACTAACAACTCATTGCGATTCAAATGCAGATGTTTCTGAAAAATAACCAGCAACCTAAGTGAAATAGAACTATAGTGCAACGTACCCAGGGCCGACCTATTTTAGCAAATGATTTGCAAACATCGCTGAAAGCCAGGAAATAAACTCTGTGAGTTTGAATTACCTTCATGGTCCTTCCAGAATACTATTTGTACAATGCTTTCAGGGCCGATGCCAGTATGAGGCAAACGGAGGCAGTTGCTTTTTTTCGTTTCTGTTGTTCCTTTTTTGAAGGGGAAAGTGAAGCACTGCTAAATACCTGGGAAAGAATTGAACCATGGACGCTACCTCAGTCATAATTTTTTTCTGGCCGCGGCCCTGGCTTTTAAGTTAGGTGAAAATATCTTCCAGTCCGCAATGTTTAATTAAAACCAAATTTACATCCAGATAAGGAATAAGTGACGCGCTTTTGCTGCAAGATAAGTTAGACCTCAAGCGTTTTGGTTTTACTTCACCGCATGTTGTGCTCAATATATCGATCTAAGTACGTCAATGCGTTTGAGATACGTCAAAGTGGTAAACAGATTTGGCGTTGAAAAAAAAAAAAAACAGATAAGTTTCTATACTGAAAAAGTTTTTTTTTATCCGAATTCAAATTATTTCTTTATTTTTGTTTTCCTATCAGTGTTCTGGTTTATATTGCGATAAGTGATCTAAAATGGATGAAAAAACAATTGCCCCGAGCAAAAAGAGGTCGTCATTCATCTATTTTCATATTAGCATTTTCAAGCTTCTGTTCTAGTAAGACGGAGAAGGAAACGCCTGAACGCTTTTATTTTCGGTATATCAGGACTCATCTGAACAGTATGAACTGTGAAGAACATTGTATATTTTGTACATGTAACACGTTCTCAATTGCACGCTGTGTTTAATTGTAATGGTTTTCATTTTCAATAAACGAAACAACACCGTAAAAACAATGTGTAGTCTGATGATATAAATTAATGATTGATAAAACATATAGCCCGCTTTCTGAGGGTTTGCTTGATGTATTGAAAAACAAAACAAAGTTAAAGATTCTTCTCTATAATAAAGGTTATATTTACAAAAGAACGTCCACGCAGTATCCGGTATGGCTGCAAGCTGAGAAAGGCTTGTAAATTCTTTTGTGGGCCCCTTTCAGAAAGTTCTGCGCTATTTTGATAGCATTGAAAACGCTATTAAAACAGCGTCTTCTAATAACAATAAAACAACGCCTTAAACGACTGACAGGAAGGTAAATATAAGTGGTATACGGTGTATTTGAATATTAATTCTTAATTGACACTGTAAAACATGATTCGCGCAACATTCCAAGGAAGGAATTACTAGCAAAGAAATTTTACTTTCTTTGGTTTAAAGAGCTGGACAGGTATTTTCTCATAAGGGGTTGTCGTTTTTCAAGCTAAATGTGAGGTTGATGCAGCCAATGGTTGAATATGAGAATTGCGATGTTATAAAGTTTTCATAGCTGTCTCATGCTCCTTTCAGTTAATTAAGGGGTGTCGCATCTTTTCGCCCCAAATTCCATTAACGTGTTTTACACCGCAAGTATATTGTGACTGCATGGCAAAAAATAATAATAATAAAACCTTATATTACGTGACAATTTTCTAATTGCAACTTAATGGTAAAATGTCATATTGGGAAATTGTTATACTTTGCATGCATCATAATTTTCTTATTACACGTATAAAATAATTAGAAATGCAAGGCTATTACTGACGGATGTTTAAAATGGATCTCTTTTACTGTGAAAAATTTTGACTAGCAGAACATGGTGAAGTGAACTCTTAATTACTTTCCCTAGCTTCTTTAAAATCCTTGTTGGAAGCATAGTAAGATAGGGTATGATTATTAGCAGCTGTCAAGCGGTCTACAGCCCGTGCCCTGAATTCTCAACTTTCGCGAATTGCATTCATGTGATGGACATCTGTTCTTGCAGCTCTCGCTCAAGAAAAACTCTTTAAATTTTCTAGGAATTTTCATGTACGAAATAAGCATCTAGATCAGTTTTTTTCCGGTGCGTCAAAAATGAAATTCGAGCGTCAACTGTGACCTTTTTCAAACTCTAGATTAGTTCGTGATTAAAAGCACGAAATACTGAACGCATGAACGTCAAATGAAACAAGTAAATAAATTATTTGATTATTATTCCTCATTTAAAAATGGTTTTGAACAATGAACGTTTATTTTTACCCCCATTCTGTGTCACCGTCTGTGCACCTGTAATATGACTCATCTATTAAAAAGAAATGAAACACTCGCCAAAAACGTAATACGAAACCAAATGGCAATCGAGCCAAAACACATGAAAAAAAAAAAAAAAAACACATTTTAGACATTTTAGAGCGTGGTCTCTCTATTTTTTCTCTCTATATTTACAAGTTTTGCCGTATTTTGTTGAGCCCAGAGGAAACAAATGACGAGCAAAGACATCAATTGACATTGTAAAATAAAATGTCCAATACAATTTTTAGTATTAAACGTTCACGGTTATTTCACCAGAAACAAAATTTTCACTTTGTTTTACGTGTTTCTATCGTTATACATAGGGCTTAGAGGGAAATTAAAACATAATTGTACATCGAGTCACTTGCCATGAATATCGCCGTAAAATTTCACAATATTTTAAGCAGAATTTGGTTATGAATTCGCTGGCTTTCGTTTTGAGACTAAATTATCGTTCTGAAGCGATAAAAATATAAAAAAAATTGCCTTTCCCTTCCACGTAGTCAGAGGAAGTTAAATCTTACCCTTTGTGTTACCAACGTAGAAAGGACTGCTCGAGGTGAAAAAAAAGAGCAAAAAATCTGCTGTCCAGGATATCTCAAAAGTGCAGCTCTACAGGATCAGCAGTTAACATTTTGAAATTTTTAACTTTGTCGGGAGCAAACTGAAAGATCAACTCACTGCAAAGGATTGGAAGACAATCCCAGCAGGAACACAATTCGACAAAAATTAATGGCAAGCGAGCCAAAAAATTAGCGTTAGACATTTTAGAGTGTAGTTTCCCTTTTTATAGGTCTTGAATTATTTTGGGGAGCCCATAGGAAACAAATTACGAGTAAGAAATTTAATATTTAGCGTTCAATTCTCTCACCCCGCCAAACTTTTCACTGTGTTTTGGTCATGGTAGGTGTGCAGCGTGCAACTATCGAGTTAAGGATGCAAGCAATGTCATAACATTGTCAAAGTGGCAGTAGAACCACGAGCCGCAGGCGAGTGGTTCCGCAGTAAACTTTGACACTGTCAATAGCTTTTCTCGCTTTTTGATTAGCCATTTAAAAAAGTCAATTCCCATTCGCCATTTCCACATCCCCCATAATACACCTTGTTCGCCCCCCGAATTCTGCATAACCTTTGTTTCCCATTTCTCCTGGGTATTACAGTCATTCCAAGAGAAATTGAAGACAATGCTTATGCAAAATTTGGGGGGGCAAACAAGGTGTATTGTGGGGGATGTGGAAATGGCGAATTGGTTAAAAAGTTGACAGTTAGACAGCTGAAGTTGAACTGTTGAAAGCTGGCATAAATTAAAATTTTATCCGTCTGTAGTCTTATTGATGATAAAAATGAGCCAATCAGCGCGCAAGAAATAAGACAGTTACTGTAAAAAAGCTCGATAGTTGCACACTGCACGCTAACCATTTCTTTTATAAACATTGAGACTTTGAGATAGTATATATTGAATCTCGTCGGGCTTTCATGAAGTCAAAAGCGCGATAAACCGCGTGAAAATTCACTCGGAAACATGACAAAGCGACACATCAAAACTTTTCTTGGATATGGCCTCTTCGGCAAAAGAAAAGAACAATATGGAGCCAGACATTTCTTAAAAGCGAGAGTGGAGAAGAAAGCGACCAAACACCCCTCGCTTTGAGCTGTTTGAGATGCTCTACTTCAATAGCAGGTTTGTGGGTTTCGTTTTCCTTTCCACTTCGTTTGAAATTTGATGAGTTGCGCGTCTAAGGCTGAACTTGAACCCATGAATGGCTTTTAAAAATGATCTCTGTCACTTTTGTTACTTGATAAAATAAGCCTAAATAAACAGAAGACTAAGGCCTAAAGGAAATTGTCAGAAATGTAAGCTTATATTTGAGCACGATATAGTCTTTCCTTCGAGCGGCTGTTTCTTCAAGAGTTCAATTCACGATCGAACGACGACGAGCGTTCGAGCAAAACTAAAACCCGGGAACTGAAATAATTCATCCGAGTCTACCGATATTTGACAAAACTTCCTTTATTAAGCTCAGAAACACTATTACCTTTAACGTTTTGTGAGCAATAGGATTTCGTATGTAAGACTTCACAAACAGAGATTCAGTTAAAGCTTTCATGTTTTGTTCGCCGAAAGCATGCAAATGGCTAGCGATGCCAGAAAAGTTTTACGCTGAAAGCTTGTGCTGAATTTTATTGTCGTCAAATCGCTAAGTGAAAAAATTCTCTCTAAAATTCCGGCTATGTACTACTAACCTCGAAAGGTTGATACAGACCAGCTCGCAGGAATAAAAATCCTCATCTCCAGAAAAATTATTAGATTTTTCCATATTTTAGGAGAAGAAAAGTAGGAATTATGTTTTACAAAGTGTCAACATCGATGAAAAAAATTGCCAAGAAAAATGAAACAAACTGACGTCAGCGTGCAACCTAGGACAAGATATTTGGTGTATTTCTGGCAAAGGTTTGAAAGGAAGGCTCTAAACCGCTTAAAATATCCCAGACCTTTCTAAATAGCTGGGAATTTTCTAAATAGCTTAAAAACATAGCCTTAGCGAAGCGCGCGTTCTGATTGGCTAATGCGCTCGATCCATTTGCCCGTGGCGTAACTCGAGCTCTGGCAAAGGTTGGATGTTCTATGATTGAAAACAAAAAAAATCCGGCGATCCTGTTAGTTTTAGTCTAGACGGACGAAAAGAAGGGCAAGGGCAAGAGATGGGAGACTGCAAGCCAACACGTATGACAGAATTGTTTCTTTTTTTTTTTTCAAATTTTCATAAGTAACCAGCGCTAGAAATAAAAGTTATGAGACATTCGACACGAAGAGTTATTTATTTAAGAATTTATAAGTAGTAACTGTAGCACCGTGTTATAAACGTGTAAATAGTTGTGTCTCAATAAATAAATATTCATAAAGTTAAGGTAGCTTAAACTCGTGAGGGCTTTCCCTCACTGACATTATCCTATACTGTTAAATTTGCATATTTGCTTCGGTGAACTTTGTTACTTAGAACAAGGAACTTAATTAATAAAAATATAAGTTGATCGCAAGAGTCAAACTAGACTAATGTCCAGGAGTTATATTAAGAAATTGAAAATGCTCAACAGTCGCAATCAGAAATTGTCCAGAAACCTCTCTCCTAAAATCATTTAGTTAGGTGTGTCTCTGTACATTTCATTTACAGTTCTCGGTCTCAATGACTCTTCTCACGTGTAGCTTGATCCAAACAGACAGTCCCTGAGGGTCCGTGTGTGCAAGTTTGTTGTGTCCGTGAATGCTTTAAGGTGTTCTTCCTGTGCAACGCCATATACGAAGCTAATCTATCTCCAAAGACAATGTTCTTTTACTATATTTGAGGTTTGAATCTGTACAGCAAAGGCTGAGTCCACCGCTAATATAGCAGCAGTCTCGAATGCCAAATGAATAACAACGACAGTGAAATATCTGTTGCAGTAGTCCGCTATTCTAATCTTTTTACAAATGTCCACTTTCTTACTTTTTTGACGAGCTTTCTGAATCATCTCTGTTCCATATATCTTCCATCTAAATTTCATCGCATGCCATTCAATAAACTTGACTTTCGTACATCTTCTTTGCTTGTTTAAATTAGGATTCAGTTCACAGGCTTTCTTTAGTTTTTTCTCTCCCTTACTTGCACGTGCTAACAGTGATTGTCTTTGCGCATTTTTTACACTTCACGTAACAGCACCACACGTATTGGCAGTTACAGCGCTCCACTATTTCCCGCGTAAAGGTTTTGTAGCCGCGTCCGCAGCACATGTACGCACAGCTACCCTTCCCACTGGTCTCGGGGTTGCACTCTCTCCCGACAGTACCCAGAGTTCCTCGACTTTCACTCTTCCTACAGTAGTTTGGAGAAGCGGCCAGAGCGATGAGGTCCCGGAGAGTGTATCGTTTTCCTCTTCTCGGTCTGAGCATGTGCTTATTACTGCCCTTAGTCTTGCTGACAACGTTGATGATTTTGTCGTACTTTTTCTTCAGGAGCGTTGCTACCTCTTTGAAGTCGCTCAAACGTCTGAAGCACGTTTTAGTCTGGCACGAGCCAGACACGCCATGACATCTGCAGACAACTGCCATCTTGTCTCGGACAGCCTGAAAAAAGAGAGTCAGTGAAAGATCAGGACTCCGCGCGTAATATTGATAGGTTGGTCTTCAATTGCATACTTGAAATAATTATGTGCTTGCTTTTTCTTTCCTTTTCATTGCTATAATTTGTTCTGAAACTAATAAAAAGTTCTGTTTGTACGACCAATATGGAGCAAAACTAAACCCATCTGGACTTACTTTATCCGCATTCTTCCGGGTTTTTCGACGGTTGTGTGTTTTCGCGTCTTAACTAGTTTTCCTGTACTAGCCATGCCTTGTATGACTGAATGTCGAGTTTGCTTCAATTATTTGAAAGTCGCCCTATGAAAGCTAACACCCTTACTCTTAAATTGACCAAGCATGATTAAATATACTTTGTAAAGAACTTACTACCTTCCAATCAGGACTTGCAATTTAGGTAAGAATTTGGGCAAAAGTTTGATAGCGTTCAACTACACTAACACGTTATATTCATTCCCCTTCCCTTCGCAGCGCGCCCCCTTCCTCCCCCTCCCCCCCCCCCTCCCCTACCCCTTCCGCATTTCCCCGAGATTTTATTTCAAATTAACCTACTGGTGCTCCATTAATTTGCTTTAAATTTCTGAAAGTGATGATAACTTAATGAGCGCTGGCGCATTCGTAACTGGGTCTCTTTACCCCGAGTCACTGCACTATGACATCGGATGAAATAGCCAGTCCGGAAAGTACACGTTGGAACGCGGGGAATGAACTTGAAAGGCGTGGCCTGAGCACGTGTTCAAAACTTCAACCTCCCACAGCTCAGGAACGTAGCGAAAAGCTACTCTTTCAGTGTGGCTTTACTATCCGGAACAGTAAACTTTCAACAAGTATCTGTGAGTATTATAACATTTGAGGCTTCCCAGCAAGATGATGACAAATGACCCGAGACTGAACAGACTTGGATCAGAACTATTTCCACGGTTTGTGAGCATTCAGTTACGCTGTAGAAACGACATAATGTGACGGTATTGTTTCTCTGCAGGATTAGCCTTTCTCATTAGCTTTTTTAAAATGTTATAAATCGACAATTAGCGATGAGCTGAAAACGGTGGACGATGTAAACGCTGATATAAGAAATAAAGACAAGACGAAGTACTCTGTGTCCTTCACTTTTCCAAGAGTGATCAAAGCATTATTTCTCTATACAACATGACTTCCTTGTCAAGATAAAAGGTAAAGAGAAAAAAGCAAATAATCAACAAGACCATAGTGACGTGAGCATTGCAGGAGCATTGCAAGGAATGTATGAAAATCAGTTGGAAGAATTCAAATGTTCATCTTTGGACTGAGTATTTCCTCCTGAGTGTTGATGGTTTTGCACAATCTCTGTGTTTTGGTTTTTCATCTTTTTTCCAGACAATTCAAGCCATGTGCACTCTTGTTCCTGTCAAAACGTGTTGGATTGCACATTTTCCCCCGGACCTTTCAACAGGAATTTCAAGTGCTTAACCTCTCAATTTTCAAATTAAGCCGACCATTCTAGATCTCTCTCTAGGAATCCAAGCCATCCATTTAAGTCCCCTTATTAAATGTTAATAATGGTTGACACTTCGAAGGCACCCTGTTGTGAAATGTCACTGTTTTCAATCAATTCGAGCTTTTTGAAGTTTAAAGGTCATCAGTTAAACTTGAAACGAAAAGATACACTACAAGTTCATTTTTTTATGGTGTAAAATAATTCTTCCATGTAAGGAAAGTGTGAAATCGCTTGCGGCGACAATGTGCAGACAGAAGAGTTTAGAGTTTAAGAATTCCGAGATCTTTCAGTCCTTTGCAAATTACTTAGAATCACAGTTTCTACTGGAATAAGAAAGAAAGTCGAGAAATTTTGCTCGTTTCGGTTTTTTAAAACTGATCAATACTTGACGGTATCCATTAAACCCACAAATGGCACAAGAACGGGGCGTACCCAATGTTCTGCATTGAATCTGATTAATTTCGATTTGGCCAATTTTGCGAGCTGGAGCTGCGCAAAAAGTATTTTTTCCACTGCGCGTGTAGAGATGAAAGGTCGGACAATAAAATGGCTTTTAAATTCTAATTCGATCTGGAAACATTGGACGAAAAGCCTCTCCGTGGGATATGCCACTGCAAAGTCCTATTTATTTTTTATTCATTTAATGGGCTTTATGTAAAGGTTATCAGCACGAAGGCCTCGCAATTAAACACCCGTTCGAGCTTCTTTCGCTCTTAATCTAAGGGATGGTTTTAATCTGGCATATTATACAGTTCCAGAAGTCTACAGACTTCTAACAATGTTAGAATTTCTCCTTGTAAATTGAAAAAAAGGCTTGTGCGACGCCACGTCAAGGTCAGACAGACCAATGACCTGTAATGTCCAAACTGAGCATGTCATATTCGACCATAAACAAAGCCCAAGAATGCAACCAGTGTGGTTTATCGACAGGTCCCAAGAAAGAAAGAACAAGACGTATCGCAAAGGAGTGTGATCTTATTTTTCTTTTGAATAATGAAGCTGCAGTCTCTTGTTTCTTTGTTCTTTCCGTCAGTCCTTCTTAAAGAACCAGAACCACAGAAATATTCCAAGCGACGAAGTAGTATTTTGAACGAAGATGCAAACTAGAAAAAATATGTCGAAACTGCCAATCATCTTTGTTGAGGTCCATACATTTCTCTTATTTTGTTATTGATAATTTGGAGGTTTATCAAGAGCTGTGTCTCCTATGCTCTTGGAAGTCAAAGGTTTCACACTATTTTTAGCTTCTGCACTGGCGATATAACAATTAAAAATTCAGAGATCGAAACCAAGGCACGGTATGCAGTAGATAACAAACCGCATCTGAAGGTCGGTCAAAAGCCAGAAGAAATTCGCATTAGCAAAAAATTAAAGAAAATAAAGCAATTATAGCCCGATTATCAGGAGTTACTACTGTCGTAAGTGTGCCCTATAGACGTTTCACACTTTAAAGACGCATGTCCGAAATTAGGCAAAAGTCAAAGAAGGTGCGTTGTGCGGAGTAATGATGATAATTGCTTTAACACGTTTTTGCTCTCGCTGGTACGAATTTAAATCATCAATCGAAAGTAATTTTCTCAAAGGAAATCCACATTTTCTATTGTTCACAGTTTGCCATCACCAAGACACAGTTGCCAAAGGCATATTTCACGAACCTGCATTTTCTAGAAAAGTTTTTTTCAGGTAAAATTTTAATTCGAGAAAACCGAAATAATTATTGACGTGAAACTGAGAAAAACATTTCACGAAACTTTCTCGAAAACTACGAGACAAGTTAAATGAAATAAAGAACCGCGAAAAGAAAAAACGTTGTAAAACTGCAAAATTGCAGAATATTGTCGAGTAAAGATTTTGTCTATAAAATTGTACAGTTTTTAGCACGCTACTCCAGACTCGAAGAGCTGAGTTGCTCGAAAGATTTAAATGAGATTTAATGAATTGTACAATAAATAGACCTGTTAGAACGAACAGAAATCATTTTACTTCGACCTCGGTGTTTCCGTTTACATTCATAGGAAAGACAAAGAAACATATGCAAAACCAGGAAACTGCAAAATTTTGAGCGCAACAAACACGTGACATCACATGTCAATCTCACACATGATTTGCATTTTATTGGCTTCCTTTCGCAAAGGGAAACATTCTTTGTACCCAGGCACTTTGTAGGAGAGCAGTATTGGGAGACTTTCTGATCTACATCTGTAATCTTTAAAAAGATTAAAAACACGCAGTATTTGTCGGATTAGCCCACTTTATGTTTCTCGCTTACGACCACATGTTTTCAGTTATCAAAGTGTTCCAGATGACAAGCACTCTGAAGCAGATCTCGCATCTTTGTACCCCACGAAGATTGCTCATTAGGTAAAATATCTGTCTTTTGGGTTTCGTTCATTGTAATTGTGAAAAGAATATTGATAATTTTGTGGTAAAGTGACTCCCACCATCCAGAACAAAGACATCTTGAGTTGTGATATTCATCTGCTGTTTTGCTGTGGAACAGTATAAGAAGGTTTTCCTTTCGCGCTAGGCATTTCGTATTAAGAATAGTTTTCAGCAATAGGAACAGTTTTTATAGTGATTGATTATAAGAGCTCCTTCAAGTCATGTAATCAACATAAACATATTGCTTAGTATGACGTAGTTCACTTTCGTGTAGCATTCTGCGAAATGGCTTAACAGCGTGTGTGAGACACACGATGATTTGAATGACCCTGTACATATTTATTAAAGCCAGTTATCAGCCCCAACTGCAGAACAATCTACAAATTTGTTACCCTCAATCTTGGGAGAATCCGGTTTTCAAAACTGGAGCTTAACCTTGTAAAAAAAGCGTCGTACCCGTTTTTTTATTTCCAGAATCTATGAAAAAACGGTTAAAATTTCGGTTTAAAGCTTTCCTAGGTTGAAGAAGTATCTTCCAAGACCGAGTTATGAATGGTCCTTCGTGGATAAAGTTGCTTAATTACTTGAACAAAAGATCCATATCTATATTTTTTTTTTGTAGAGACTTTGATGTAGAGCTGTTTAGTCGGCATCTCTTGACACCAGACATATTTTGCGGCAACTCAAGTTACTTATACAGCAAAGTTCATCATTTAAGACTCTTTACCGGCTGCACTTCCATCACAGCCCACGCCAAACTGATAAACACGGTCAACAACAGCATATTTCGTGACTATATTATCTCAAAACTTGCGGCTCTGTTCTTAACATTTCAATTGTGAAGAGGCCAACAAATCAGCTGAAATTTTTCTAATGATAATTTCACTCCATGAAACCCCAGAGGCACTGATTAAGAAGATATGAATAGGAAAAAAAGGTCTATGTTCACAGTCAGTCATGTTATCTTAACAGCGATAATGATCTTGGCTTCTGGACAAGGCAAACTTTCACGTATTTATTTGTATAAACAACCCGTCAAACTGAGTCTCTCCACATATCGACGGTGCAAAGCGAGATGAATACACTTCTGGCTAAAAGCATTTTATTCGGCAAGCTTTATTAACAAAGATATTTCCAAACATATATTTCCTTCGGCTAAGTGATCTTTGTCACCTCTTAACTAAGGCATTGCTGAATGTTGCCGATATGTAACGAAGATCTTTCCACCGAGCATCCGCTTTCAATGCCAGCAAAGTCAAACCGAGCAAAAACCACGCAGGCAATCTTTCACTGTTGACTTAGCACACGGTCCTCAAAAATCCAAACGGCTTACCTAACAAACTTTGGTGGAATAAATCTTATACGCCGAGTTTCTCAAGGTTTTTTTTTTTTGTTATTCTTAAATCTAGTACCAAAGTCTCAGCAAGGGTTAAAAATTCCTGCACGCCAAACTGTTTTTTTTTTCGTGCACGTAATGCATTACTACTAGAACGGTAAATTTGGCAACCTTTCAAAAACAAACGGGATAGAAACGCTCCGCAGACTTTGTAGAGTGGTCGAGAACGTCTTGCTTTGATCATGATACACCAAAGACTATAATCTGTGATAAACCCATGTTTTTTTTTGCCAGCTTTTTGTATTGATTTCAAGGGAGTTTATCGTGTACTCATATTATACTTTTAGCCGTATTTTCTCTCAAAAATTGATTGGGCTATCAAAGACACTACGGTTAATAAGCTCAAGTGTGGAGTTGCACTTCCGCTGAGCATGTTTTCTTTCGCAGGAGGTCAGTAATTTTTCAGTTTATTTTTCATAGTTCGAAAACATTTATTCTTGTTTACCACAAATTAACGCCAAATGGAAAGAGCTGTTGGCGCTTGAGCCCTGAAAAAAATTGCTACCGTGGTTTTTGCGACAAAGCAAATAAACAAAGGGCTTAGAGGAGGCTTAGAACTGAGCAAACGGGCCAAAGGAGTTTTTCTTGTTTTGGACCAGTATTTACCTTCAAGTCTGAGAATTCGAAAACTGCTAAGCTGATCAGTCTATTTATCGTTTTACTTGGTAACGGAGCACTGAGAAACACAGTTCTAGTCGTCGCCTACTCACCTTGTCAAATAAGTCGTTTCTCGTTTGTAAGGTTTATATTAAAACAACTCATGGAAATTCTATAGAAATTTATGGTTTTCTGACATATCGCGGCTTCTGTTATGATGAACTAGATGACAAATCCTTCCGCTGAAATCAGTACTATACACGACTTTTAATTTCTGTTCAACTGCTCTGAAGAACATTTCCTCAAATACTGCTCAATGAAAAGGAATGTGGTTGATGCTTTGTGACATTCAGGTTATCACACAAAAGCTTACCTGTTTTCATTAATGATAATTAATACTTAGAGAGTTGTTGTTTGCATAGAAAACAAGAGAACAGGTTTATTTTCATAAGCTTTTCCGCAGTCAGTTGTCTCGACTGGGCCCATGAATACTATTAGTAGCAGTAATAAACTCAGTGAGATACCCAACTGGACAAAAGATCCTGTCTGAAGCATACAGAGTGTTTATGTTGAGGGAGACAGTGGAATTCTTCGAACGTGATGGCGCGATAATCAAAACCACAGATTTCCAGGACTGTCACTCTGTCATATGCGCTAGATTACGATATGAAATACTTCGAGTCGTCTTCTCGATAGGCTATCTTTCTCTTGATCTCTATTTTAGGAGAAACTTCGAACCACACTTGTGGCCGGCAGGGTCAAATAGAACAAGGCAACTTGTTGCGAGCCTGGCTAAAATCTGTTTTCCACATTACTCTAGCTATTAAATGCAATCGAGATTTGATCTCTTAGTCGCCTGAAACAACAACGATAATTTCAAAGTTTTCAAAGCGCTTTCTGTCACTGATTTTAGTGATGTAAAGCAAGACAATTCCCCTTTTCTTTGCTTCGTAGAGCTACTGGGAATACTTGCCCTCAACGTTTAAGGTCGCTGAGTATAGTTATCCTTGGGGAATTACATCAGTGCTCTTTTGTATCACTTCATTTATTCTCATAAGTCGTCTGTTTGAATTTGTTTCAAGCACATTTAGAGAACTGACAAATTAATCAAGTCGAGGATTAATGAGTTATATATAGCATCTGTGGTGCATTTTTGTTGTGTTGTAAACACGCTCCACAAAAGGAGTTAAAAGAGGCTTTACATCGAATCGGAAGCGAACACACTTCAGTCCCCAAAACCAGATTAGCTCTTTCAATCTAGCCTTGACTTTTTACAAAATCCTTTTATGAAAGGGTATTATGACGCTTATAGGTCAATACGGCAAAATATCAAGACCGTCTTACCGTTCTTCCAGCCTCGTTGTTGTGCAGATTCATGAGCGCGCGGCTGGTCGCGGAGGCTTCTTGACCCTTCATGCGTTTTTTCTCAACAGCGTCTGTGAAATTTTTGCTAAACCTCACACCGTAGGCGATATTGTCACTGCAACCTCCCCAGAGCCAGTTTTTGTTTTCTAGTTTCATCTTAGGCGTTCGCCCACAACCGCAGAGCTCCAGCCGTCCTATGCTACACGCCTGCGTCACGCTGTAAACCACGGCGGCCGAAGAGAGCGAGTAAACATACGCCGATTCTTTAGTTCCTGTGTACAAAACGAGAACGCGTTTGGCGGTGAGATACGCATTGATTATAGATAATCTCGAGTGTCTGAGTTCTCGTTCATTATTTATTTGTTTACTTAGCGGCCATTAACGCCTGCCGCAGCAAAAATATTTCCTTTTCTGAGGAAATTAAAATATCCCTGGTGTAAGGTGAGCTTTTCCAAAGTTAACTCGTTTCTCAGGTTGAAACCCTTGGCATGGCGGGAAATTTAGGATCTGTTGTGCATAAACGTGTTTTAAGTCTAGTAACAAACTATCTCTTTGACAACGTGGTAAACCGTGAGATTTCCGCAAAACCCCTCTCTAATTTGGTCATTTCCTGAGTGAAACCCAGGGTCGCCTTTTTTATCGTAAATGTGAACGGAAAGACAAGTCACAACATATTTATCATTTATCCTGTTCCCGATATAGCTTCCTTAAAAAAGCCATCTACGGCTCTAGAGTGGCTTTAAACGTTTAAACGACAGAACGCAAGACGCATTTTCGATAATCCGGTGGGCCCTACATCACGTAAACGTCTTGTTTTCTACGTCAAAGTGATTAAGGGGATGAAATATTTAAGGCTGATTAGTCTGTAAACGGCAAAGGTGTCCCGTGTAATTCAAAGCTCCAAAATACCCGGCGCGTCTGCGAAAAAATGTTTAGTCTAATATTGGACAAGGAGGGCAAAAGCTGGTCGGCGAAAACTGACAGGGCGGTGCATAAATGTTGAACTCATTCGTTTACCGTCCAATTGAATTATCCGTCTGGTTTTCTTAAATAATAAAACTGTGACTTCCGATAAGCGAGAATTAAAACAAAGCAAAAACAATTTTGATTACCAGAACAAAAGATCTATTACTTTGAACATGGAAGTGCACATCAATTGCATGGATTACAGAACACGCTGATGTTGTCACGTTGTCTGTCGTAAATTATTTGCTGAAGTACAGTTCCTGGTTTTTGTTATTAATTTTTTTTTCTCATAACTTTGAAGACAAGGTTCGAGATAACGCACCAAGATGGCTGGGTTTCGATTTCGAGCCTCGAGGCCATTTCGGGTTACAGCACTGACCATAGAACTCACAAATCACAATCAAACAATCATATGTCAGCTAGAATGTGTACATAAAGCTACCCCTTGCCCAATTAAGCTCAATCAATTCCACAAATAAACCGATCTTTACAAAAATACCCGTTGAACGCTGAACCTCTAACAAATAATAACAGCAGATTACGTTTTATAAATCCCTACCTCTCTTCAGGTCGTTGTAAAACGAAGGAGCTTTGTCGATAGTCGAACAATTCCAACGCCTGTTCGTCAACTGTGACTTACACTCCGACTTGGTCATTTCGACAGCTTCTGCGACGTATTTCATTATCGGGAGTTTTCTTCTGCACATTTTATACTGATCGCCAACAAATCCTTGGTATTTGTTGCAATCGGACCTGTTCCAGTTATGCTCCGAGGGAAGTCCTATGGCCCTACACAATAAATAACAAAGTGAACATTAATTGAGTGAGGCACCAATTGCATGTTCCCTTTTGCTAAAAGCGCAGAACTTAGATATGCAAGTTGGCAAAACGAATACAGTAAACCCCAAGAGGTCAAACAGGGTTGGCAAAGCAATTCAGCCTACTTACAGCCATCTAATTCCATGTAGCCTTTGTGCAAACACGCTCAACACGAGCAGAATGGCAGCGGCGCGAAACAGATTCTGCATGTTGCCGTGTAAGGTTCGTTCACGCAAACAGCCAACTGATTAGTTCACAGAGCGATTACTCTTGGACCTGCCAAGTAACAGAGCACGAGTATAAATAAGCTAAGCTAATTAATAGCATGCAGAGGGTACTTTTCATATCAAGTGATAAAAAATTTCCCGATGACTCCTCGAGTTGGGTTACATCGATGCGGTCGTGACCCATACCAAAGCGTCGAAAATAACTACCAAGCTCTATGACAAACACACATACTCGATAATTTTGGCACGCGGTATGGTTGAAGCCCAAATAGGACACAGCTTGTCGAAGAATGGTCAAATACTTCAGTCTTGACTTAAATAGCTCAGAGCGTCAGTGCGTCGGTGTTCACAATCCGAACGAAGATGTTGTTTAATGATCGCATGGCGGCCGGTCGTCAAGCGTTTTATAGCTAAAGGTGCACGAGTAATTAACTACGCATTTCACTTCCCTACCCGCCCCGCCCTGCCGAGTGTCAGTAGCTGTTTTTAAATCGTTTTCAACAGCCTTGAGTTGAGTTTTACCTTGCTTTGTTTTCCGCTGGGGGTAGGGGGGTCAGGGATACGGCGACAAGCTAAATCTCGAGAGTATGACAACAATGTCGTGTGTATGTACGTCTACCACCTACACTATTCAGACGGAATCGACGAAGGCATGATCAGGAAAGACCACACTTCGAAATAACCGCGCTTTTCATCTTGTGCGGTTGTCTGACATCTTTAACGAGTAAACGCCTTTCCGTCTCCCCAGCACAGCCCTAAATTCAAGTTTGCCGCGCACGCGCGCGCGCGCGTTTCTACAGTTGTGCTTGAAAACCTCGCTGCAATAAGACTCTGTTGAGCGTTTGATCAACTCTTTGGATAAGAAAGAGTCCTCGGGTGTCACAAAAGGGCCGTGAAATTTAATAGATAAAGTGGATTAGAGAGTCAATACGGATTTTGTTTCCCTGCCGGCCAGGCCTCTTTGCATGACATCGCGCGATGAAAGGCAGGTGAGATCTTGTACGGCGTGCTGAGAGAAAATTATTCACAGTAAAGAACGCACGGACGGTTGTACGGACGGGTTTAAGAAGCTGTTAATTGGAAACGAATTAAACCACTTAACGACTGCAAGAATTCTCACCAAATGTAATCGGGAAAAAGTACAAAGCAAAGCACGTTTGTTGACAGCAAATGTATTTGAGGTTCTTCTACGAGAGGATCGGTAAATATCGCTGAAGAGAACTCTAGGGCTATGGACAATCAAGAATTGATTAACTCGTAGAGACACTGCAGCAAAGCCCCGAGGAAACGGGACCAGCTTTTGATGAAAGGAACAGATACCTATTCGCTTTGTCGGGCTAACGTAAAGAGATCATGCAGTGAAAACTGGGAGGTCACTGATCAACATATTTCAACTGGTCTTGTCTTCTTGTCGCGAATTAGCACTGATTTTTTTTAAAATTCTCTTTTGACTTTGGAGGCGGTTTTATAAAGCTGAATGTTCGAGAATGTCACATAGAGCTTGACCCGAGCCTTGTTGTAACAGAGCACACAAGTACCACAATTTATTTGCTTCTAATTAAAAAACAGTTTAAGAACTACACGGGTGCGAAATCGAGGATGTGTGATAATGTGCTAAGACTGTTTCCACACGAATTGCGTGCAGTTCGACATAAATAGGTCACGATATGTAAAAATATCGAACATTGAATATATATGGAACGTATGACTGCTAAGTTAATAAGCCAACGATTGCTTTTATTTGCGCCGTCAACAATGTTTTGATTTGTTCAAATGGAGTATCTTAAATGACTTGATTGCTCTATATGTTCTAGTTGTTTGTCTGTGCGTCTTCCGCGCCTTCCTTTCGTTATAAGTGTGTGTGCTTCTAGATAAAGCTGTATCGAACATTTCCTGATAGTGCACCCCTCATTAACGCAGCCATCAAAGATTTTTCATTCATCTGTCCTTTGAAACGATAACCATGCAAGTTTGAAAACGATCCACTTAAGCCCTCCCCACTCCCCCCGCTAAACGAACTGATCTTTTTCTGTCTTCGGCTCTTCTTTAAACTGTTCTTCAATGACTCTAAATATACCGTAATTTCATTATTTTTTTCATTCAAAGATAACAATCAAATCGAGGTAAATACAGGTTAACAAATCGATGTTTTGGCCAGATTGCTGAGTAGCCCGAGTTCGGTAGGCTTAAAGTTTTAAGTACGACACGCACTCGAGCTTTAATATTGTAACTCGAATCGATTGATAAACGTATTTAAGTTTCTTTGGTATTTCTCCAACATTTTCTGAGCTTCCTGGAGTCAGTTACGATTGGAAGAAAAGCTTGTCGTCTCCAAGGAAAAAGCTCCGTCGAGGGAGGATAAATTTTCTTAAGTACTCGTTGCCCATGTGAGTTTTTCCGGCCACGTACCGTACACCGCCGTAGGAGAGAGCACTCTTGGAAACACGAAGCGAGATTCAAGAAGGCTTTTGATCATGTAGATAACAAGTTGCTAAATATAAGAGGGCAACATGAGATTTATGTTACGTAATTTTGCTTTAAGAACATCGCGCTCTTAAAGAAAAACACGGCTATTAACAGGAAATCGCTCATTATGCAAATTCCGATTAGACGGCGTTTACGAAAAGGAAAACGGCCGAATTTAAGCTTATTAACGCATGTTCAATGAAACCAGTGTTAGCGTTGGCATTCGACCGCGCCAAAGAAAGTCCAGTAAGCACTTTTCGTTTTAAACGAGCTGTAAGCAAGCTACGATGGCCTCTTTTCTCAAAGGGAATTTTTCTCTAGAAATAAAACCTCCTTATTTCAGGAACGTGCTTCGTTTAAGAAAAGCGTAGGCTAATCCTCATTGTTCGTCTCCTGTCTGTTGTGTGCTACTATCCGCGGTGTAAATATTTCCTTAAAAATTTGAGTACGTGAGTTAAGCTGAGCATTAAGGTATTTTGCGGTGCTGTACACACTCAGCAAAACCGCAGTCAGACGGGTTTATCAGAATACCTCTGAAATTAAAAGAACAACTTAGTGTACTTCAAAAAGAGCGCTGAATATAAACCGTTTAGAGCTGGTGAACTATAAGAAAGGCTTAGTACTTCGAATATTCAAGAATTGGTGAAAAGTAACAAATTTTACTGTTTTTTCTCTTTTCGTAAAAACACGAAATGGTCTTCCGAAGTCCTTCGACAAATATTCAAGAGCTGATGAAAAGCAAACAATTCTACCGGTTTTCTTCAAAAACATGAAATAATTGACTATTTACGAACGAGGGTCAATTGATTCTCAACTTCAACCTAAGCCGTCAAAAATTCTATTTAGCTCATGCATTTTTTTTTTTTTCAACAAAAAAAATTATTTTTTTATGATGCCAATGCAATAACATGCGGTTTTCAGCGCTCAATTACGTTACCATCGTCTGTCATTCGCGCTCACACGATCCGAAACCTCCGCAATCCAGGGAAGGAAGCGGGGATGATTCTAAAATACTACGGACACTCCCCAAATGCGTCACTCAGACACCCGTCTACAGCGAGATGGATACAGGAACGACGAGATAGGAAAGAACTTTCCCACAAAAGGCTACAAAAATAGTTTACTAGTCGGTCTACAAAACATACATTTTGTAGCCTTTTGTGGGAGAGAATTTGTTACACTTCCTGTAGCATTCTTGTACTTTTTAGAACACCCTAGAATATAGGTCGAGTCTTCTACTCGAATCGACTTGTGACTTGCATCAGCGAGTGCTGCGGCTAAGATATTAGCCGAATTTTCGAATTTCTCGTAAGAGTTACGCCTTCTTTAACCACATTACTCTGGTGGCAGATTCGGCTTCGCAGTCCTCAAACATAATCAAAGTTCGATTTGGTTATATGACTGTTGCTTCGCGTGATAAGCAAAAAAATTGCGGATGTGAAGATGATGGAAAACGAAAATGTTGCAGGTACTCATACTGTTAGACGCTTTTAAGAGAAATTTTAACTAATTTCAAAAAATAGAAAATGCTAGAGAGTATTGAATGTATGCAGTAGTCAGACAACCAAAAAATTTTAAGCCCTTCACGATAAAGTTTTAAAAAAAGCGACTGAATGACAGCTTCCTGTCACATATCTGGGAAAATATGAAAATGTGGATTTCCGTGTCTTTCAAGGGCTAACAGATATATAATTTTTCGGCATATCTCGCTATAAGCCGCTTTCAGTTATAACTGAATCAGTAGGAAATATATAACCAAACCACAGCAATTCACATAGCGTTGTAATTTTCCTCTTAAGCCACGATGAATCTCAGCTGGAAGGAATGGATGCATCATAACTCGGCCAAAACAACAGCGGTGCCGAGTCGTGTTTCCAAAGATACCGACAATAAATAGAAACAGCAGTTGCCAGACCAATGATGGAAATTCCACGACGATTCACTAAAAATCACAGGCATTTTTAAATTTTGGATGTCTGAAGAAATAGGTTTATGATGAGATTCGTCACGGAACTTTCAAAATCTTCCTGAATTTCTAATGACAATGTATTATTATTATTATTATTATTATTATTATTATTATTATTAAAGACGGCATTATATCAAGCAACAAACAAAGCTATTTACTAACACTAAAGTTATACTTATTCACTAAACAATTACAGCTATTCGCGAAAATCAATTGTTTTCGGCTGGAATCGAGTACAAGCTTTAATATGTGACTACCTGATTTCAAAAGGCCAAGTTTTCTATATCACATTATAAGTTCAAATGTAATCATTGCCTTTTTTCGAAATTACAACATCAAACGTCCATTAAAATTGAACAAAGAAGTATAATTAGGTCAGCAATCAAATTCCTATTAGCTAAGATACAGGATTAAGAATATCCCAGCAAATAAAAGTGCGGATTATCGGATTTTAATAATCTGTATAATGGAAAGTAAAAGAGCGCAAACGACTAATTGGTTTGTAAAAGGCACTTCCTTTGTGAAAAGTTTGCGTAGTAAAAACAACTTGTGAGTTTTTTAAAATTAGCATGCACGTTCAAAGTAGTTCTGCCGATAAAATGTGTAATCCTGTGCAAACTGGATAGCAGATTTGCGGTAAAACTGAAAAAATCAGTGAGCTTTTTGCGGTTTTGGCAAAGAGAAACTCCCGCCGGCATAGCTTGCTGTGATATTTCCAGTTCTCGTCCCTGTGTGAGTGACCAAATTCCGACAAAAGAAAAAAAACAATCTTGAGCTTACTGACATATCCGTTTCATACACAGGAAATATCTCTTTAGTCTAGAAGAACGTCGAGAAGATTTGTAAAATTAAACACAGGCCAGACACAGATGGCAATGGATTAGTTATTGAGGCCTAAAGTTGTTACGGTTCTGCGTATTCATCTTCATGCGAGAACTGAATCACGCGATAAAGTGAAAGTGGTAGCGAGCGACGTGTAAAATCTTTCGTAAGTCTTGCAAAGTTGTGAAATGTTTTATAATAATGCTAGTTTCTAGACGACTTCGCCGGACGAAATGATCTGAAAATTAAATCACAGCGGAACTTCGAATACGGCAATAGTTAGAAACGAAAGAAAAGCCCAAAACTGTCCCATCAGCAGGATTTCATTTTATATAAATCAGTTTTATCAGTTACATAGATCAGTTTATATAGATTAGAACAAACTGCTGAAGAATTCTCAGAGTATCTTATTATTTCGCGCCTAAGATTTTGAAGTTGGACGCTCGAAGTGTTACTCCAAATGACCTTGCAAATTGTGATTGTGGTCAGTTCAGAACTTAACTTATCATTACATGAAGCTAAAACACTACTGAGCAATAGAAATAAGTTTGCACGCGCTAACTAGATGACCATAATAGCGTAAACATTTTAGTAAGTGCTAAATATTTTTCTCCTCTACAGAAACGGCGGAATAAAATGTTGAAACAGCGGTCGATATATTAGGGCGCGGCCCAAATGATATTTGTATGAAGCACATGGCGGATTTCTAAAGATGTTTCCAGTAATGTTTTTTCGAAGTATTAGGTAACAAAGAGCTAATAGCTCCATCAGATCTCGACTTTCAATGCGCGTTGTTTAAACTAATACAGAAAACAGACCTCTCGTATATGAGGTCGACATTTATATTCAAACAGCGAGTAACAAAATTTTCCTCCCATTTGTATGATTTACCACAAAAGAACGATAATGGATTTTCAAGAAATACATTTTAAGGCTAATTGTTTAATCTTGCATCATTTATTTAATTTAACCACTTCTAAAAAAAAAACACAAGTAAATGGAGAATTGATTCGTCCATGTGATGACTCAATTGACGCTAGTGATTTGCTAACAATATTTTGCTTGAATTAATTTGGAGCTTGGTAGTATTTGATTCCGGCGATTACCAGATATTTCTGTTCTCGAACACGATTTCTCTCTGTTTTGAGAAGACAGTAACAAGAATGTACCCACTCATTCTTAGTTGTGACCTCCTTGATCCAAATTCAAGAAAATACTATAGCCGAGAATACTGAATTGCAACTAAATATCGCACGCTTCGGAGTTTGGAGGAGTGTGCTAAATCTTTTAAACTTACACAAATTTGATTTGCATTTGTTCAAAATGACTTAAACTTATTTGTACCTGTCTTAGAAGATCAGAAGTATTTGCTTTAGCTTTGAAACGAATTTGTTTCTCCACAATTCTTACGTCTCTCTGCGGACAGGCGAAGCCAACACGCGGTTGTGAAACAAAACGTTCACCGCTCGAAGCAAAACCTCGCTACGTAATCTGCATTCAATAGCTGTTTTTTACATCTTGAACATCCCGCAGTTCATATCACTGTTACCCTTTCGCCCTCGTAGCGATTTTCCTTTTCTTATTTAAATCATGAAGCTGTGTTTTATGCGCTCCTGGTTCTTCCAGCTGCGTTGCATTGGCTCATGAAGCGGGAAACAATAAGTGAACGTGTATTTCTTTTAGTTCTGATGTGGTTACCCAGTGAACAAATATGTTCTTCCCATAGGAAAATTTCTAAATTAGCGCTTTTGGATGCAAACAACATACTATGCTAAAGTTACTGCGACGAGACGTCTCTCCACTGAAGGACACCATTAAAATTTGTTACCGGTATTAAACCACATGATCTCAAGTTGAATTAGGTCAACGGCATTTGCAAGTCAAGAGATGTTTTTAATTCACAAATGAAATACTTAGTTCTCTTCTCACTGCGTTTCGAAAGTCCATTTTAGAGCAAACTACCGCATGTTGAGTTCTCTCAGCAACTAACATTGAAGTGTTATTAAACTTCAGCCAAGTTTACTGCAAGCTCGTGAAAATACCGCAACCAGTCTAAACACAAAATGTTGTTTGTTTGCAATGCTAATTTTTGCTGTTAAAAATATTCACCTGATGTGAAACCAGTCAAAGGCCACCTTTTCAGTGTGAAAATCACTTTCAAATTGACTGTATTGTTGTGGGTTTTGTTGTGGCTTTTCGCAACTAAGATTTTCGTTTGTTATACGATGGCAAACTTCATATACAAATATCTACAAGGTAATATCTTTACCCGGGCGTTACACTATAAAGAAGCTTGCAACTGAATGCACACGTGGGTTAATCTAAAAATGACTTATCAAATTAATCAACATTCAATCAAATACCCGTGTTAAGTTTCGAAGTTAACCGTACCCTCTAAACAAGAAACGATCTGAAAGAAGCGATCAAATTTTTTGTCAGCGAATTCCGAGAGTAGCGCTAGCGAACTCAAAGTCAACTTGGCTTATTGTGACGTATGAGAAACAAAGGCAATAACAAATACGAGGCGGAGTGTATCAAAATTACAGTCGAACTTCTACAACGGCCACTTTTTGTCATCCCGGTGGACGGTCCATACATTCACTCTTTTTTTAACCTCTCTACAACGGCCACACCTCTCGACAACGCCAACAATTACTAAAACTCGTCACCACTGCCAAAATAACCTCTCGACAAATTCCAGTTAATCAACGACTGACGAAACAGGTGTCATATTACACCCCTACCTCCACATAACATATATAACGGCCACCTCTCCACAGCGGCCACTCTCCTCTTTCCCCTTTCGGAGCTCAAAGTTTTATTATTAGTAATTCTCTTTACCAATTAAAATACAGTTCCTTAAAGACAGTAATGTGGATTCCATAGCATATCAAGACAATTTTTCTACATCAAGTTGTTGTTCTTCTTTCTTTTCCAGTCGACTCTTATCAGCTTAATAATCTTTAGTAATGTTATTATTAGAAGCTAAATGAGACATTTATTTTTTTCTGACCCCAACAAAGCGACCTAAAAGTTAGAAAGTCGCTGATTATCGTATTAAAACCAATTGATCAGACTTGTCATGGCATTTCTGCCAAAGCTCATTAAAAACAAAGCGATAACAAGATGAAAAATCAAATCAAAATAGCTAGAGGTTCTTTTCAACACTCTAATAACACACCTATTTAATCTTCTTGCTATAGGTTAATTCTGCCCAGAGTGCAGTCTGTCTAGAGGTTGATCAGATGATTAAAAATTCAAGCGTTTTAAACTTGGAACTCAGTGGGGTTGTGTTGTTTTTAAAATATTTAAATCAACACCAGTGCTAAATACTAACTTCAGTAATTAGATTTTCAGTTTTTATTTCTTCATTAGTAATAGCCTGAAGTGGTTTTTGGTGGAGTAGTCTTGTTTTGTAATTCTAAAAAACTACTGGAAGCTTTAGCAGGTTATTAAGTTAAGGTAAAGTCTGCATAAGAGCCAAGTGGCTCATCAGGCCGGAGCCTGTCCTGGTTTCTGTAGCATGAAGTGACTAGGAGTATTCCTACTCCCCCCTGGATGGGATGCTAGTCCATCGCAGGGTTACCCCCAGTATTAAATTCGCTGTTACCCATTTATACACCTGGGTGGAGAGGGGCTCTATGAGAGTAAAGTGTCTTGCCCAAGAACACGAGAGAATGTTCGATCCGGAGTCGAGTGAACTAACCATGAGGCCACCGCGCCTCCAAAAGGTAAAGTCGAATTTAAATAAAATTGCTGTTAAATTTCTTTTAAATCAAAGACTGACTTCTGATTCTATCAATCGACAGTAACAGCTAAGTCATCTTTCGTCATTGCCTTGTCATGTCTGTGTCCCTCTTGACTGAAATGCGGAACACTGCTATTTCAGAAGATTGTGGAAACCGATATACGATTTAGAAAGTAGATAAGCGTCTTCCGGGGTGTTGAGGTAAGGCTTAATGTTGACGTACTGTCTGATCATGACAGACGAGGGTGGAACCTTTAATTTACTCTTTCACTATTTAAAATATACACTAGGTATCGTGAACCGGAACAAGGTTGTAACAATATTCCAGCTGGGCGTATTGATTTGGATGTTTCCAGATTTAGCTCTTCCCTTCGATAATCTGAAATAATCCTTGTGAGAAGTTTTAGAAAATAGACTTTGAACCCGAGTTTTCTATCAGCTGTTTGATTGGCGAAAGTTGTAGCCTTCAAGCTTCATGAAAGCTACGGAGC